AGTGTCTTCACCCGTTCCCATTACCCTCTTCCTTTTTCCTCTATTTATTTTTCCGGCTTCCTGTTGGGAGCTCCTCTTTTCGCTTTCGCTCCGCTCTACTCTTCTGCCTTTTTGCGGTTTGACGCAGCAACTAAAAGTATGCAACACTTTTTTCGCATGTTGCTTTTTGCATATTTAATGGCCGACGACTCGACGGGGACAGACAAAATGGCGGCGTCTGGGTTTTTTCGGCCCCTTCGCCGAACCCGCACCCCGCCCACCCCTGCGGTTAGGCGTTGATTTGTGGGCGCCCCGTTTGTTTGTTGTTCCTGCAGTTGTATTCGATGTCTATTTGCGGTTTGTGGGCGGCGAGTGGCTGGCGCATCCGCCCCTGATGTGACTTTAATGAACTGGGCCGGCTGCTTCGAAAATCAATAGGAACAGGCTTTAAGTGCCTCTGATCCCCTGCCATGACTTCTCGACGGTCCTTCAAACCTCTCGCATCGTCGAGTGCTCTTTGGGTTGCCATCCCGGCCTGTCACAATAATAGGCAAATACGTCACACAGGGAAAGCAGACTTCCTTGCCAGACAGGAGCAAATAAAAAAGTTGTCAACTCTCCTTGGCTTGCGACTGCTATGCAAATTTTTATTGAATGCGGAAAATTTAAAAACAACCAGGGGGAAACTTCTGAATGACAAGATATCGGAGATTCTTAATGGTTAGGACGTTGATCCGTAAGAAGTATGGCTATAAAAACTTCGACTGTAAGCACAACAAATCTATGTAGTTAAAAAAAAACGAGAAATCGTCAATAAATAAATGTTGAATATATGCCAAAATAACGCAAAATTAAATGACTAGTGCAATTTCATTGAGTCAAGAGCAACCATCAAAGAAATGTTAATTTTAACTATAAACAAGAAAGGAAAGCTAACTTCGGGCGGAGCCGAAGTTGATATACCCTTGCAGAATACTCTGTAAATTATATTCTCCAAAATTATTCATATGATGCATTCTTAATACTCATAAAAAATCCGAACTTCCTAACTTTAACAACAACAAAGTTATGGCATTTCCAATCGTTCAGTTATATGGCAGCTATAGGATATAGTCGGCCGATCCTTATGAAATTTGATAGGTCGGATTGATTGGCCAAAAATAAAATCCATAGAAAATCCCAACTTCCTAACTTTACAAACACCAAAGTTATGGCATTTCCGATCAATCAGTTATATGGCAGCTATAGGATATAGTCGGCCGATCCTTATGAAATTTGGTAGGTCGGATTGATTGGCCAAAAATAAAATCCATAGAAAATCCCAACTTCCTAACTTAACAAACACCAAAGTTATGGCATTTCCGATCAATCAGTTATATGGCAGCTATAGGATATAGTCGGCCGATCCTTATGAAATTTGGTAGGTCGGATTGATTGGCCAAATATAAAACCCATAGAAAATCCCAACTTCCTAACTTTACAAACACGAAAGTTATGGCATTTCCGATCAATCAGTTATATGGCAGCTATAGGATATAGTCGGCCGATCCCGGCCGTTCCGACTTATATACTGCGTGCAAAGGAAAGAAGGGTGTGTGCAAAGTTTCAATCCGATAGCTTTAAAACTGAGAGACTAGTTTGCGTAGAAACAGACAGACGGACAGACGGACAGACGGACATGGCTATATCAACTCAGGAGGTGATCCTGATCAAGAATATATATACTTTATATGGTCGGAGATGTCTCCTTCACTGCGTTGCACACTTTTGACCAAAATTATAATACCCTCTGCAAGGGTATAAAAATTAAAAAAAAAACATAATAAAATCGATGTTTGGCTATTCGAGTAAGGAATTTAAAGTGCATAACAACGTTTATTTGCAAGTTTTATTTGTAATAAAAATGTTTTGATGGGCCTGTATAAACGGAAAATAAGTATGCCTCGAAAACTTGTATTGAGTAATCCCCTATTTTCAAATAAAAAGCAACACCGCCTTGTTTCTAGGTTTCTAGATCTGGTAATGCTGAAAATGAGTCTTTTATAAATGCTTAATACCGTATAAAGGAAAGTTATTTAGTGGTAAATAGGGTTGTGTTGCAAATAGCAGGCGTATAAACGTAGTATACGTTGCTCATTCTGGTTCCGTTGCTTTGGTTGCACACTCTTCCATTAGTTTGTGTGCCCACAGTCTCTTGCATCCGGCACACCCCTCTCCTCTTGGCCATTTATTATTAAATCATCAAAAGTGTTGGCCGTCAAATGTGACAATGGCGAGACCGAGTTGCATTCTGCCTTTCGCAAGTTTGTTGTTGTTCTGGGCCCTGGTTAGACAGCTGCCTCCCGTTCGGGCTCCCACAAAGCTTGTGCTGACTCTGCCCCTCTGTCTGCGAAGTCATTTGATTTGATTACATCTGATGGGGGGAGGGGGGAGGGGGGTAGCTGGAGTCGTCGTTGCTCCTGCCTCTGCTGCTGTGCAACTGTCAGTCGAGCTGATGGATTTTATGACGGTGGCTGTTTGCTGGGATGCGGAACTGGCCCGCATGTCTTTGCCCCCTGCAATCGCAGCCAATTTGTCTAGTTCTGAAGCACGCTCACTTTCTCCCGGGTCCTTCACTAACAGCCAACAACTACTCCCCATTTTAATGCTGTGCTGTTCCTGGCTTGATTAGCGTCGCTGAATTGACAGAAATTGTCACCAGCAAGAGTTTCCTAGTAGTCAACGCCCAACTTGCAACCTCTAGAAGCAGCCAACGCAACCCAACACGGCCCATCCTGCACAATTTGCGTCACTTGTTGTGTGTGCAGTGGTCCCCCTTGGCCCCTTTCAGCAAAATCTGGCTGTGCATTTTCGCTGCGTTTTTCACTCCGTAGATCCACTCCGACCGAAAGAAGCTCGGCACTTCAATTGCTTAATTGATCAATTTAATTTGACACTTATTCAAACACCCGGACCGCCGCGGGGAAGAGTAAGATAAATATCTTTTGTGCCTGATTTCCAGCGCAGTCAACTCGCTTTTGTGCTTCGATTTATGCAAATTGTTCCGGGCCATGTGGCCCACTAAACGAGTATGTTCGAGTGCGTCTGACGTTCGCTCCAGATTCTTTTCCTCGAGAGCTGTGCTTCATCAATTAATCAATTGGCCTATGGTATTTCTGTACTTCTCTGAATTTTCAGTTGTTTTCCCTTTCCTTCTCATTTCAAGTTAATCAGGAAGTCCGCCCCACGAATAGTTCGATGTTTAAATTTTAGCGCTGGAGCAGCAATTTGTTTAGTTTTCGAGACTCATATTTGGGGGGCCGCTGAAAGTTTCTCTTGGGAGAGACTGTCGGGCTATGGGAATATGGTGACATATTAAATGGAAACATTTTTGATTGGTGGCTCTTCCACCAGTCAGTTAAAATGAGTAGAATGGATATTAGAGGTTGCTTGGACATGCGCGAGAATTAAAGTCTCCAGATAACCTCATATTTTAGTTAATTTTAGTGGTGTTTCGGTAAGCAGTTATGAAACACTACTCGCAGTGATCTTTTGCGCAAAACCGCACCCATTAAACGATAAATCTCTCTGTGTCAGGCAGTACAAATTGTGGCCACAGATTCTGGCTAATGCCACTCTTTTAGACTCAATTGAGTGTGTAATTAACTAACTGTACTTTTCAATTCATGAAATATTTGCCTGTGCAAAAAGCAGACAAGCAAACAGAGGAGCTACGGAGGCAAAAGTTGCCGACGGGCTGAAAAACAGGAAACTTGTCGCCAGCAGAGCGAGCACCGAGGCACCGCCAGGTGGCAGCTGCAAACGGTGCAGCTTTGAGCGTCACTATTAATTTAACCTACATAGTGGGTCTGCAGCAAGTTGAAAGTATGACAGCCAGCATTTCTCAGGCATTCCCTGCTATTGGAGAATTTTTTCCAATTTGTTAGTGGGCCATAGGGAGCGACCCGGACGTTGAAAGATGAGCAATTAAGCACTGAGTTATCGACAAGAGCCAAGGCTTGAAGGGCCACCAACAGAATGGGGGTTTATCTGGCAAACCAGCACATCGGCTGCGTGACAAATTGCCCCATGACTGTTTTTTTTTGGATGCAGACAGGTACGGTTACCTTCGCTCCAGGCCCTATGGGTACACACATCCAGCTGTATGTACTCATTGATTAGATCAAAACCAGTAGAAGGGCAGAAAAAGGAGCGGGTTGCGTCTTGTAGTCCTCCCGAGTTCCCTGACCCCGGTCCCTTTTCGCTTATAATGAGTTTTACTTAGGACAGCCATCACCTCATGCACATCTCAGCCCATTAAAATTAAAAGACATCAAAGAAATTTGCAAACTAAACACAAACATAGGGCCCAGAATGCTCTGCTACTGGATGACTGCTCAGGCGGGGTGTTCATTATCACTCGGCCTTTTTCCGCCCTACCTTTGGCCCTTTTTTAACTCCACCGCACACTTTGTATAGGCTAAATAAGTTTCTCGGGGAGCTTCTGGCATAAAATGCTACGCAGGCTGTGTCGTCGGCCCTGTGCTCTGGTTTCCCTCGGCTAGCCGGTGATAAATTAAAGCGAAAACTGGCTTGCTCATCGGTGAATGGATAGCCGAGCAGTATGTTTGCTGAGGCCGCTTTCTATGCCATTTTTCCTGGCACTGCTCATATGTCTGCCCCTGCAGAAATTTTTGCGAAATAATGTTTAATGAAAAGCACAAAGTCATCCTCCGGCTCCAACGCTCCACCACCCGACTTCTGCCCGTCACGCATCCCCACTTTGCATTCATTCAAGCCAGAGTCGACCGGAAAACAAGTCAACGGAGACGATGATGACTACAGGCTGCTGCAGATTTGGCAGGCTTTTGGCTTTGCTGGCGTCAATTAAGTTTCCGATTCGTGCACAGTTAAAGCAGAGCGTGCTCTTTACTTGAGTGAGAAAAGTAACATTGTGGGACAGGAGGAGATTTCTGGGGGGAGTGATGGGGCTACTTTTGCACGCTAATTTACTAAAAACATATTTTGTTTCTCTTTTATAGATCTCACTGCCACTCTAGAATCCCCACCATGAAGCACACGTCGCCAAGTGGAGCGACCCCCCGCAACGTCAGAATGCTCTTCCGCCAGTGCCTTTCCCACCCAACCCGCTCAACACCCACAGCAGCTGCCCCGTGCGGCCTGCGCCTCTCCACCCGCAATCCAACCCGCGCCCGCGCCCCCACCCCCGACGGACGCTCAGCCTCTGGGCGCTGGTGATCGCCAGCAGCTGCTTAATGCTCAACACGCCGACCACGACAGCATTTGATATCGGTGAGTGCAAAGTCCAGATAAATTGATTTCATAAGTCGAAGAGTCAGAAGTTACGACCCCACGAATCAGTCTACTCATACTCTTCTTTAGTTTAATTGCCATTGGAGGCAATTTTGTTATGGCCCATCATTTCGCGACAGGCGGCACAGTTGGATCTTGCAAACCAGAACATACGACTGCTCCGCGGGGTGTCCTCAACTGGACATGTTGCACCATCCTCGCATGCCTCTAAAGGCACCCTGTGGGTCTTAGACTTCCCCACATGGCTGTCGTTCGAAGCATAATTCGGACTGAGGCTGCAGCTTATACTCCGGCTCATTAATAGGAATATTGACATTTTTATGCCTTATTTAAGCCAGGATCATATCTTGTTTTGAAAAGTACCCGGTAGAACCGGATGCTGCTTTAATAAAGAGATTATGAGCTTTTTCAATAGCCAGGCATGTCAGCGGTTCATAACTTGTATGCCAAATAAACGAGAGGCGGTGGCAAATGGTACACCCAGAAAAAAAACTCAGAGAAAATTATGACCGAAGTTCTTACACAATTTAAAATTGCGTTCTTATTTGCATTTTAAGTTAAGAACATTAGTTCATAGATAAAGAACACTATACCATTTTTGAAAGAAATAAACTCACTAGGCTCTGTTGTTCATAGCTCTTGTTTTAAATACAATTTTTCAAAAACTATTTGTTTATAAAAAACATTCTCTGTCGAGTAAAAAATATATATAGACTGCTAAACAAATTTTATGAAGTCTTACCCCATCAACAAATCGTAAATTTGAAAAATAAGCTTTTTAATACATAAGTCATAAGACGATTCAAAACATTTCTTAAATAAATGAAAACATTTTGTCCTTTAAATAAGAATAATGTAAAAATAACCTTTTTTCTTTGTTTTAAAAATTTAAGAACATTTTTTCTTAAATTAAAACGAATACAAAGTTGATAAAGTTCTTAAAAAAGAAACGATTTTGGAAGGAAAATAAAGGGGGTTCCAGAAATGAATAATACACTAGAAAAGGTAATTTATTTGCCAAAGTGTATTGAAAGCATAGTGGTGGATTGAATAGTACAAGCAAAGTAGTCCCAATTAAATATTCCGAAAAGTACATTGCCACATTATCGGACCCATATAAAGTCATTCAACTTGCGTCTTCATCTGTCACAATACCCCCGCCCCAAGAAAATGAAATCTTTCTGCCATAACATTTATTGTTAATCAAGCAAGTCAAATACATAAATAAAAATCTACAAACATGTTCATTTCGGATGGCTCCGCACGGAGGTCTCAGAACTCTGTTGCTCTAGCAATATCTCCCCTGCTCCGCTCGAAAAGCAAACACATGCCAAAGGAGCACTCTGCTGTTGTTGGGGCTAGACACATCGAAGCGAGCTGAGTTAGCAAAACATGCAACAATTTTCCAAATGAATGCACTTGCAATATGCAGTGCATGTCGGAGTCGCAGCCGGATTCAAAGTCATGGTGTGAGAGCTGGCTTTTGACCCAACCTGGCCCATGCACCCAGGCACTTCGCTCTTCATTTGCGGAGCAGGCTATCAAACGCAATCAAGTGTCAATGCACCAGAAGCTGAACTTTCCGACAGAGATGCCAAAGTTTCCAGTGTATATATTTATGCTAAAAATACTGCTACTTATAGAATACAGGCAAAATTTTTTGTAAATAAGAAAAGTAAAAATGTTAGGTAGCAAAAAATGTTAAAAGCGAATAACTATAAATTCGGCAAATCAAAATGTATGTACTCTTGCCAATGTTTAAAAAACTATTAGTTTTATGTAAAATATACCACTTCGGTGTGAATAAATGTTCCTCCCCACGAACTAAATTTAGCTAAGGATCCACATCACCAAGCTTAATTTGAATTGGCTGGCTAAGTTGCCCCACCAAGCTCAGCACTCCCCTTCCAATATCCTGCCCCTGACCCACACACTTTTGGGTGTGACTATTCAAAAGCTTCTAAGCGAATGCACATCACCCTAGGATGTAGGAGATCAAAAGTTGGATGGGTCCGTGGTGAGCCTGCTGGGCCGGTAACAAAAGTCATATAAAATCAGTGCTGATTCTGTCGAAAATGTCAGCAGGGGATTGCCATACGCAGGATTGGGGATCGGGAGCGGTGTTCTCCCGCATAAAACTCAAATAGAGGAGGAGTCTGCAATTGGTGGGCAATAAATCAAGTAAGGTAGTTGACGTTCTGCCAGTCTAGAGTTGACCGTGGCGTGACATGATTAAGTGCCTAGTTCACACACAACCAGATACAGCCTCTTGTATATTATAAATTCCCGGGAATGTATACGCATATTTCCCCCTGCAACACACCAAACTCACACTGACACTTGTCGTTCTTTGATAGATTTGCTTGGCGTTGATCAGAGAAATGGTGACTTCAGTTTACGATCGAAACTTAAATAAAATATTTTTTCTTTTTACTTACAGCCACGTGCAATGTGCCGCTGGGCATGGAGTCGTTAGTCATAACAGATGCTCAAATCACAGCGAGTTCAGCCCATGACATGGGCTTTGTTGGACCCCAACATGCAAGGTAAGTTCAGGGTTGTATCAAACGTTTTTGCACTAACTACTAAAGTACCCAATGCCGTGATCAAAAAAGTAACCATAAGTTTTGGTTGTTACAAAACTAAAGCACACTGTTGTGACCCCTGATCTTTTCTCATCAGTAGGAATCCTAGGACTTCAAACTCTATATATAATAGTTATTCATTTATTTAACGTTAATCTCTTTATTCGGAAATATCTAGTTGAGCAATCATCATTTCTGTTATTTGTATATTTGGCCTATAATCGCAGCTCGAGCACTTTAACATTTCTACATGCTTAAGTATAAAAATTGTTCAATTTCTTTGAAAAAATTGACATTTGACTATCTTGTGGTTCAATATAACAAACTCAACACTTAGTTTTTAATGTGGCCCTAACATGTATATTTTTGAAAAGTTAATTAAAGATATATATAGTTAATTAAATATACAAGTTTCGGATAACCTTGTATCCAATTTGTATGCCATGTACCATTCCTTATTTAAACAAATATAAATTAGAGTGGATAAGATACATTAAAACTATTTTATACAATATTTTCGGTCGATAGTTTCGATATTATTACTATCGGTGTTTTTACAGCTCCAAGTCGTTATGTTCTGTTCAGCCCCTGTCCCTAAAATAGCTCCCGGGTCATTAACCATTTGACCCGAAGCTGTTCGAAGTCGGAGATGGGGCTTATCTTCGTTGTGATTGGCCGGCGTGCTCATTTAATTGCTAATTTTATAGGCAACTTCATTAGCCGATAAGGCAAAGTCAATAAAATAGAAAACTTTGGCCACCGCTCAAGCTGCTCGGCAATGACAGGGAAATTTATATTATGACACAAACAGTTTTCTCATAAAAATACCAAATAGCCAGAAACAAAGCTCCAAAATCGAACTTAAATAAACATTGGGCCTGAATTTGCATATCCGGCGAGCGGAAAAAATATATGATGTTCGTAAAAGATCATTTTTCCGCCAATGGGAAATCTGTCCGTGAAAATGCCAACGAAGCGGCATGGCAACCGATTAATGGACGTGACAGCGGACGATATCCAAACAAACATATCCAAAGTCGGCAGCCCTTTGCCCAGCTAATTAAATGCGATTTCTGAAATGCACAAACTCGTTTCCCCTTCCACAAAAACAAAGTTCAAGCGAGTTTGTGACAACAGCCGAAGAATGAAGTCGCAGTTGGAATTGAAGTGGAAGACAAAGGCAGCCAGCGATTTCTTTTTCTTAGAGGAGCTTAGTTTAATTTCAATTTTTCAGTTTTGTTTACATTTTTCTGACGCTTAATGGGTAATGGGTAAGCCAAGGTTTGGGGTAGGGTGATATGGGCGGAAGCATGGAGTAGGGCAAAGCGGAAGTTTCGCAGTTGCGCCGACCGTTGTTATGATTGATGACACCATTAGATGGGCTTCACTAGTCGTATAATAAGTATGGGCTATTTTCGCGGAGTGGTTGAACACATTCTGGGCCATAAACATGTCAATTATCAGAAAAATTATGGCTAGAAATCAATGCCAGCACATTGCGCAGTGAGTAATGGAAGATCGAGCCCTGCCATTCTTTCCTTTTCGCTGACCATAAGAATTTTTGTTAGCCCTTGTAGACATGCACTTAAAAACATTCCATTGCGGGCTGACTGACAGGCAAAGCACCACACACACTCTGACACCACCACAAAGGCATCATTACCATTAACCCTTTATGGCGGTACTAAAACATAGCCACAAAGACAACGCATGTTGAGCTCGTCAGAGATAAACAAAACAATATATTTCGGTTTGTTCGCATCTTTTTCTTTCTGTGGCAGATTAACCGGAATTTTACTAAGGAGGCGATGGACAGGCGAATTTTAAGTTGCAGTCCAGAGCAAGACAAGAGATTGGGATTGGGACTTGCGATGCGGTAGACTCTTTAGCCGGGGGTCGATGCCAACAGACTTACCTGAGATATTGGAGTGGATCTGGTTTTTGTGATCCGTCTGCAGAAGTCGTGGCCGAGAATGTGAGATATTGGAAGCCGCTTCGTGGCTGCCGTGGAACTGCCAAGTGGCTCCGCTTGACGAGGCCTGGTTGTGATTCCGTAGAGGTTAAAAGTCCAGGGGACCGAAGAGCGAATGGATTTCGTGGCTGATATATTTATTAAACTCAGCTTCGCTCCTTGGAGCTCTAATTAAAGGGAACTCTGGTTGAAGTTGAAGAACTTTTCCCGAATTCACCTTACACTAATTCGCCTTTGGTGGGCCAACTTTTCATTTCCCGAAAAACACTTTGAATCCCTCGGACCTAACTCTTCAGAGCCAGCGCTTTCTCTTTTGTCTTTCGATTCCCTCCCCCGACTCCTCGACTCCTCGACATGCCCAATCAGGCGAACTGCAATTTGCTTAGTTGAAAGTTCCACGGAGTCAACCAGCAAAGTTCAAAAGTGCAGGCAGCATTATAATTTGCGGCTGCCGTGCACTTACCTAACTAGACTAACTAACTCGAAAAAGATGTGCTTCAAACTCGCCGTAATTCATTCCGGGGAAGGGGCACAACATGCACTTACGACAAATCACTGGAAGGGATTGGGGCCCTCAGGAGGCCATGAGATGACTGCGATGACTGCGATGACGGTTTGTGGCCCCGTCTGGGGCTATTGAATTACGAAGATTAGTTTAATGACAGTTGGCGCTGTTTGATTTTCATTACCGCGCCCATCGTCCAGGACCGTCGGGCCATTAAGTTTACAACCTCTTACATATTACAAACAGTGAGTAGAGAAAAAAAGGCAACCCTCCTCCGGCAGGCGCCGCCCGATTAGAAGTCGGTGCCCAACGGACAGGCAGTTAGCCGGTCCATCAGTGCTGGAAATGAGCAGCCGACGGTGGCGCAGATTGTTAGCTTTGGCAATAACAATAATTAAAGTCAAGTTGAAATGCACATAACTGCGGATATTACCATTTTAAACGATGTTTATACGCTCTTCTCTCTCTCTGCTCATCTCTTTCCGTTTGCCTTTGGACTACTGAGAAGGACCCTATTTTATGAAGATTAAATTGACCTTTTAAAACCTCTGGGAGAGTACTTTTACCAAGTAAAGCTTTACCAGTGAAGCTGGGACTTTGATCATTGCATTTTATTGACTGCAGGTGGAAATGAATATTGCAATTTAGGATAAGTAATTAAAATGTGGTTCAAGCAGGAAGTAAGTGCGGTGTATAAATTGTGTAATTTTTTATTTGGCTTCTCCACCACTAAACGATGTCTCAATTCACGCAGAAGCGCATTACTAATGGTTCACACCGAAGGCAGGGGCGGGAACATGAACATTTTTTAGAGATTCCGAGGCAGCATGCGCTTAAAATCCACGTTGGCCAGTAGATAAACATCGCAATCGAATTCAATTCCAATAGCCCGCTGGCAGCTGTGGGCTCGAGGCCAGAGACAAGCGGCCAAATGAAGCAATTTGCCACGGAGCCAACGACGACAGGAGGCCAGGAGTCCAAGTCACTTGACTTGACTTGACTTGGCTCCGAACGAAGTGAGTCTAGGCCTAGTAGCTGGCCCATGAGTAATGGCAGGCATTAAGGCAGCCGAAATGCAATCAAGCATGTAAAACTTAATTGAAATATAAACCGAAAGCAGCAGTAGAAGTGGTTTACATATCAATGCCTTCGATGGAGGGACTTCCACTGGCTGAAAATTGATTAAAGTTAGGGCACGTCCGTCTTGAGTCTGGGAATAGGTTAAATTTATCTTTAATTACACAGACAACATCCTGCTGTGCCTGAAACCGCAAACAGCTTACCGAACGAGACGAGCAGCCAGACGGCGCAACCCAACCGCCAGTGGTTTGGAATGGGGTTTGGGCTTGGGATTGTGGTGGTGCTTCATGTGGTGCCGAACGCTTAATGTCAATTAATTTATAAAAACAATTCTCTCCCAGCAACTGGTTCTTGAAGCTACCAAAAATAAAGCCTAGTTAATAAAGTCTAATCCGCCATCTTCTCGTTTCAGACTGAAAACCGATAATAATGGAGGAGCTTGGTGCCCCAAGCATATGGTGTCGAATGCCCTGAAAGAATACCTGCAGGTGGACCTTCTGCAGACGCACGTGATCACCGCAATCCGGACGCAGGGTCGATTTGGCAAGGGTCAGGGTCAGGAGTACACCGAGGCCTACGTGCTCGAGTACTGGCGTCCCGGCTTCGACAAGTGGCAGCGATGGAAGAATATCCAAGGCAAGGAGGTAGGTGTCAACGGAGCCAATCAGTGGCTAGTGTCCAGTTAACCCCATCCTCATGCTCCTTCCTCCCCGCAGATCCTGCCCGGAAACATCAACACGTACAGCGAGGTTGAGAATGCCTTGCAGCCGATCATATTCGCCTCGAAAATCCGCATCTATCCATATGGTCAGTACGACCGCACTGTTTGCTTGAGGGCCGAGATCGTCGGTTGTCCATGGGAAGGTGAGTTGAATCGGGGAATTTAAGCGGAGGCGATAAGAGGCCGACTTGAGCCATGATAATGCAGAGAGGCTAACAGAGTTTTAGTGTCAGCGCAAATTTACCATTTTGCAGTCTCGAGGGGCTGGTTTGCTATTAGAAGAGGCAAAAGCGGCTTAAGTGCTCGCGCGATTGGCTTGTGGACAGCCATTAGCATGGCATTCTCTGGTTTAAGTTCCGCGGAGTTGGTGAGGCTCGGTTTGATCTGCGATTCTGGGGTACTCTAAATAATGAAAATGCAGAATGCATTATGTCAGTTTCTTCAAAAATCTGGGAGTAAGAAGCCAAATAAAACCTCGATTTTATTCTTCATTCAAGTCAGGCAATTAAGGGGCCTCTGTTTTATCACGATTCTCAGCTGATTTTTAACACTTTTTAATGGGGAGAATAAAAGATATGAAGTTTGTAAAGTCATTTCAATAAAAGCATTCACTAGTCTTTCTGGATCAATAAGCCGCTACGATGATAATTGGATAATAAACGAGCCAATTTTTTAAGAACTCAAACCTTAAAAATCGAAATAAAATCGGTTGCAGAAACATTCGATTCATTGGGATACCGGTAACAGTAAAAAAAAAATTTCAGTTTAATTTTTGTTTTTTTTTTATTTTGAGACTAGAAGCTAATAATTTCCACTAGTTTGCATTTTTTGCCTTATAAGCTTGTTTCACGAAAGTTATGAAAGACTTCACCAATTCGCCTGACCCACAAATGAATATAAACCTACAGTTTGGGGTTATCCTCACCGCAATCTTTAAAGAAATTTTCAAGCAATTTGAAGCCTGAACCACGTAATCCAATCAAGGCTAATACGCCTTATGCTCGCCAAATGAACTACTTGCACGTTGGAACGTAATGTAGCTCATTTTTGATTTTTATACCCTTGCAGAGGGTATAATAACTTAGGTCAAAATATTGCAGCTTAGTGAAGGGCACATTTTCGACCCCATAAAGCCATGTCCGTTTGTCCGCTTGTCCGTCCGTTTCTACCCAAACTGGTCTATTTGGATGCTTTAAAGCTATTTGGATGAATCTTTGTATCATATAGTTTACCATATCATATATCTGCCATAGAAACAATCGGGAAAAGGGGAATTAAAATTATTACCTTTTTATTGTTTTTACATATATCCATATACTCCGAGATGTTATATGCCATAGGAATAATATAAAAATGGATCGGAAAAACAACCGACATTGTTAATAATAGATAGAATTAATATGGAATATTTCATTTTGTAATAGCTTTAAGGGTATTTAAACTTCGGCCAGCCGAAGTTTGCTTCCTGTCTCGTTTTTCTCTGATTTTATGTTGGGATTTATTTTTAATGCCAAGAGCAGTGTACTTGTATATCGCGTGCAGACATTGGGAAAATACCTCATACCGAACCGATTCTTGTGGCTAGACTCCACCGAAATCGAAATCCCAGACGAAAACATGCCGGGCAGGTTGTACGCTATGTCGTCTGACACCAGGAAAAAAGGGAAAACAGAAAATCAACTAAGTGCACTGTTAAAAATGAGTGCCTAAAAACGATGTATATAAATATAGGCATAGCTTTTTTGAGTTACTAATAAATCCTTTCTGAGGTCAAAACTATCCATTAAATTTAAAGGTAATTAAATTATATATTGTTTTATTCTTTCATAATTCGTATAATAATTCTTCTCAGTATACTTAGGCAATATGGCCAACCTGCTTCGTTATTCTCTACCTTTACTTTGTCGATTGTTGCACGCAATTGTCAAGTATGCACGAGCCAGAAACTAGTCTGGACAAACAAATTTTTCTAAAAGTTCCATGGGCTGAGTCGAGGGTTCTCCGCTGGCAGCGATAACACAAAGCTAGCCAGCGAAACGCGCCTAATGACAATTTGTAGAACCAGGTCCCCGAGGAGCGGGAAAGGCGCGGAAGTTGAAAATTATTCTGTAAATTAACGCAGTGTTTGGGCCGAGCCTTTTGGGACGGCAAACAAGGAACTGGGAAATGGGAAATGGGAGCTGGGGTCCCGGGTCTCGGGTCCCCTGATAAGTGGCGCCATTTGTGTGCGGGGGAGTCGAGGGTTGGCACGCCCACTTTCATGGGAATGGGGGACTTGAGGTTGGCAGACATGCAAACTACTGACCGCTCACATTTTGCGGACTGTCATTTGATTTGCCACGTGAATGTGAACATTTGCGACATGGCGCATTTCAAATGCAAATTAAACAAGATAAGATGGGAATAGTGGCATAGTGGCACAGCGGCAGATGGGTCTAGACAACTGCCAGACGGCTGAATGTGGGCGAGGAAATCAATAAATCTCTTTTCATTTCTGTGTCGATTTGATTACGCTACCATTAATCCACTCAAATCAGACCCGAATCGAATCATAATTTTTTATAAACTACGTCTATTAGTTTTCGAAACTGGTGGCATTTGAATATGAATCGATTTGGCTGACCCTAAGGCAATAAAAAGGAACGCAGCCGAAGTTTTCAGATTAAGGGCCTGAAAGCGCCATAAGCGTTAGAAAATAAGGCTAGTCGCCAAAGATTATCTCGAGCATTGATACCCAAAACATGGTTTAGCTGGAATTTACAATTTAACAACCGCTCTTGGAATCGAATTAGGCTTGCATACGCTTTAGTGCATTATAAATGCAGCAAACGATTAGCGTTAAGCCCGGGATTTATGGAGCCCACTGTTCAAGGGTCTATAAATTATGGGTATTTTAGGCCACTACCTTAGTGCCTCGCTATCTAAGCGAACTGAAGAGGTTGGGAAATTGAAAGTTGAGGCCCAGGTGGGTGTCTTCGAAGACTGTGGAAACAAGTTGGAGAAGTAAGAGTGTGAAATGTAGCTCTGGAAAACCAGGGGAGTGTTTTTCTGCATTTTAGTTTATTTTCGAATTTCCATTGAGTTCCCTCAAGTCCACTGGGACCACTCAGCCATCCATCTCGTATCCTCAATTTGAGTCATCAGCAAAAAGCGCGTTGACATTGTTGCCGTTACCGTTGGCTTGCGTGCCACATCCACGTCCAAAAAAGGAGGAAAATTACATTTTATATATTGCAGTCGCTGTCTTCGAGACCGGCCCCATCTCCCACTACCACCCCCCAATCCTCCCCCCCCCCCTCCCCACGCACTTAGCCAAGGACTTTGGTCTGGCTTTGCTCATTTTGGGGCAGCCTGGGTTCCGTCGACGCTCCCCAGGCTGTCGCGACACGCAAATAAGGATCGCATGCAGGCACGCGAATAACGAGGCAAACAGACAGCGAAGGGGGGGTATCCTTTTCCCTGATGATGCCCCCATGTGCGGGCATTGCGTGAATGTTGTCGCAGCGAGGCAATTGTACAACGCGCTGCCTTAAATTTCTTTGCAGTTAATTAAATATGCCATATAACGTTTACATTCGGTTTAATATCGTGTCGGACGACTTATCTCTCAGTTCCGCCGTAATTCATGTAATTAAACGCGCTCCAATCCTTCCGAAGGGCCTTGAATAATAATTAGTATTTTCGTTTGAACAAACCCACCCACTGACATGATCGATAACGGTGTTTGGCCCACCGAGTGCCTCATCATCATTATCTATGCCCAATGCGTGGGATTCGGTTCCGATTCGTCCATAGGCGTCCCTTAATTATGTGTAATTATGTGAATTTTTGTAATTATTGGAAAATTTCTTCGACTAACTGGCCCTTCCTATCCTGGAAAAGTGTTTGTCTGGGTGTCCCGAATACCACGTGACCCGATTGGGTAAATACAAATTCTAGTGAATTAGTTAAACGTGTGTAATTCCAGCGGAACACTCTTTTTTCCTGGGGCTGTAATTATTTCGAGTGCCTGGCAACCCTGAGTGGCGCCAGTTGTGGGTTTTTTTTGATCCTGGTGTAATTGTTTTCGAGGGCGAAGTGGACGTCTATTCGATTTTGTAATTAGTGTCAGGTGTTTTTGTGCGATTGGTGGCAGATTGGAAGTCGCATTTGGGGGGTGGAACACTGACTGTTCCCCTTCTTTTGGGATTCCTTGGCTTTCGGATTCGTAATCCCTTAAAATAGCGCAGTACCTAAAGTGAAAAATACACACTGTGCAACAAAAGTTGTGGGTCTCCTACCCAGAAATAATTTGCCCTTGGCATTGAATAACTATACCCTGGAAGTTCCCCGAACTTCTTTCGATTAATGCTAAACATAGCCACAGAAACCAAATGACAGACACGGAGGGTGTAAGCGGGACTAAAGTGGCCACAAAACGAAATTATCTTTCAAGTAACTCAATATCCTCCTACACTCGTGCATTGGGGGAGTACAAAGTGGAAACTTTTAATTTACCGCGTCTGAAAATCCAAAGAAACAGGGGGCAGATACACTGAAGCTTAAAACAATTTCAAAACAAAAATTAAACCTTAGCAGTTCTTTCTTTTATTAGATTGTAAGTTTGGTTTGTTAAATTGTTACCTTATTAAAAAGTACTTGGTTTTAACAGCAGATATTAAGCCTAATATTGCGTTATAATAACGTTATAATAAAATACTTTTTAGTGAGTTTTTGTGCAAATTACCCTTTTATTAATTAACAATTTTAAATAGGCTATAAAATAAGATCATGATGATGGAATGAGTTATTTTTTAACCGTATTTAATGAATGGTAAATGCATGTCTACTTCAGGATAAATTTCCCTAAAATTACCATTTATGTGGCACGAGCTAAAGTTTTAATTTTCTGTTTTTTGTCTGCTGTAAGTCAGTTTTGGAAAAATGTTAGAAAATTGTACTCATTTCTCTTTACAGTAAAATATTTATTTTTTTTTATATTATGCTTCGTCCTCTTTCTATAGATATATATCTGCCTTAAAAATAATCCCAATACTTTATTTAAAATTATACTGGACATAGTCACAAAAATTCCATTTCCCTTAAAAACTAATCCATTTGTTTCAAAACTAGTTTATATTGTATTTTCAATCTAAATAGGTTTTTTTATAATTGTATTTAAAAATAAAATTCTTTAAAATAATATTTTTGTTGTATAATAAGTCACTCTGATTTTCATTTGTAAATTTTAGTTTAGTGGACCCCTATAAATCCACAAAACTCGACAAATATTTGTCTTTCACACGGGACACAGAATGTGTATTTGACATGTCATGAGTGTGATTGGCTGGGGCAGCCTCCCAGTCCCCATTAATCAGCAGCTCGGGTTTCGTTTTTTGGTCTTTGTTTTAATTCCCAGAACTGCCAGTCTTTAAATTTGCCGCTTTTCTTTTCCACCATTTCAGAGGGCATCGTGTCTTACAGCATTCCAAAGGGCGTACAGCGCGGCATGGAGGTGGATCTGTCGGATAAAACCTACGACGGCAACGAGCAGGGCGATCGCTATGTCGAGGGCCTCGGTCAATTGGTGGACGGACAGAAGGGAAAGGATAATTTCCGTACCGACATTCATGGATTTGGCAAAGGTGAGAAACTACACCATTCATATATTTTAAAAAAATTATAAGGGGTACCTTCCTTTTGCGCCGCATGCGAGCTCTTTGCCCAAATAGTTTCCTCTTAAAAAAAGTATTCAGCATTTAATAGAAAAATACAAGTAATATATAATACAACAATATAAGTTCTGGCAAACACTCCTGGGCTGTTAATTTAAAAAAATAGTTTTGTTTTCTGATGAAATGATTTCCTATGAACTATATTTTTCAAACGGGAACATTTTGTATACTTTGTGAACTTCGAATGCAACCATAGTAATACCAGTCCGGTTTTATAAGTAGTTGTTTTGAATAATAGTTCACCTTTTCCTGTCCGGCTTTAAGCTACAGATTTTTGCCACCTACTTTCAAAAAATGACCCACAGTGCCACGAAGGCGCATTCAAATCGCAAAAATAGATGGCAACCGAAAAACGGATTAACATCATATAATGACCAAAGTTCAACGATGGAGAAGGCAAAGGGCAACGTCTGACCCCATTGCGCCGCTGAAAGCTCACTTCTTTGAACATCGATGGCGGCGCGTGGGGGAAAACTTTTGGCTTTTGCAAATAACACAATAAAAAAATAATATCTTTGGACCATTTGCTGGCGTCGCAGTAAAACTTGCCTCGATGCCAACCCCAAAATAAGAGTCCCCCATCCTTCCATCAAGGCCCGTAAAAAATGTAAACATTATGCATAGTTAATAATTTATGGCCACGCTGCCATTCATTTCCGCCCCGATACTGCAAAAGTTCGGGAATTTGCGAATCTCGCCAGCTTATTTTGCCATGACGCTCATTTTCACTGCTTGCCTTGCGATTTCCATTGAATTCTTCGCGAATTGGCAAATGGCCAATAATCGAAATCATCGAGAACTCTACGCAGGGCAAAGTTCGGTTAGACAATTAGACATGCAGTCGCTCTGTCTGTCGCATTTGCAGACGAGGTCGAGACGGAGTCACAAAGGAGTCAAATGCATTGCAACGATAAAGTTTCCGGGGCATAATTCCGATTTCCGGCTATCCCATGTCTATACTTTTATGGGAATTATTTGCTCGTCTCTTGCTTATTTGCATTATAAGTTGGAATCAATACTCGAGCGGGTTGGGGCATCGAATGCCACTTCCTGTCCGCGTTTTGCTCCCCACGAAAGAATTGCATAAATTCTGGTTAGGGCTTGTGTTCCAATCCCGCAAGGATATAGTCATAATGGCGGTAACCCAATACTGCAGGAGTTTTGCTGGAAAAGGAGAACCCTTGCTGGATGTCACTCCCCTGAAGTCCTCACTAAGCTTCCACGTAGGGGTCCCATTACCCCACTGAAATTAGGGCCAAGCAAACAAAGCAGCAGCAGAACAAATGGCTTTAATGTCGCATTCCCCGATGGTTCTAGTTATTCAGAGACTACCCTCCACGCTGAAACCCCCTCTCCCTCCTTCGTGCGCCAGCGGTGAGCATTTATTTGTTTTCGGGCATTTGGGGAAAACATCACCCCAAATGTGCCACGGGCGCTGCCAGGTAGGCAGGCTTAAATAGCTTTACATGTCAGTCCTCCACTGGGCTGCTCTATTGATTTTCCCCTTCTTGAGCGGACGTATGAAATGTTCTTTTTATTTCATTTTGATGGCTTTTTATTTATTCCAGGTTATGAATGGATTGGCTGGCGGAACGATACGCCCGGCCTGCTGGGAAAACCGGTTGAAATTGTCTTTGAATTCGATACTGTTCGCAATTTCAGTGCCATCGTGCTGCACACTAACAATATGTTCACCAAGGATGTTCAGGTGAGTGTCAATTCATCTTCATAAAAAGGGTTATATCCATTAAAACATGTTGAGTGTAATTAATTTGGTGGTTAGTGACAGTGCTGTTATAAGCTAAGTAAAAAGCTCTACAGATTAAACCAAATTCAAGAAGAACGATATATCCATTATTTTTGTAACTGAACCGAAAGGTTTGGAAAGATATATAATATATACAGTACAATTTTCCTAACTGTAAGGAAGTTCTCAAGTCTTATTTTGTATAGCTCAAAACAAACAGAATGGTAGTAGGGTTCAGACAAAATATTTAAAATATTTTTTGTATAACTAGGTGTAAATATAGTAGTTTTCGACACGCTAGGAAAAAATTGGTTGGTAATATAAAGCTTTTTTCCAAGAATTCATGCTAAATATTATTTAATGTTACAAAAAGAGGATAGGAAAATTTGTTGTATGCTAAATTAAATTCAGTTCAACTTATAAGGCCGTTAAATTAATTTAAAAAACTTAAAGCAAATATCACAACTTAGGTACTAAAACTAAGATCCTTTAAAATGACAATAAGTTTGTCATGAAATTTAATTGTTCCGTCTTACGAATTGTGTTAGAAAATATATTTACTATTGTTAATGATAGTCTTTATTATCTAGGGAACCCATCAGTGTAAAATGGATATATTAAAAAACAACGTATTAATTTTTTGCTCAACAAATAATTTTGAAACTCTATCGCCCTTCATAGGTGTTTGTGCATGCCAAGGTCTTCTTTAGCATCGGCGGTCGCTACTTTTCGGGGGAACCTGTGCAGTTTTCCTATATGCCCGACACCATAATGGATCATGCCCGGGATGTGACTATTAAGCTGCACCATCGAGTGGGAAAATACTTGAAAATCAATTTGTACTTCGCCGTCAAATGGATTATGCTGTCGGAGATCAGCTTTATATCCGGTAAGTACGTGAGACACTGAGATCTCAAGAGGAATAAAATTGGCAGAGAACTGAATTTTCCATGAGAGCAACGAACAAGCGAGTAACTTAGGGGGATATGCGGAAATGGAATTGCATACGTACAAATGCATTTTCAGCTTCATTTCACTCTCGATTATGCGACAACACAAGGGAAGATGGAAAAGGCAATGCATTGCTTTTAACAGGGGATAAAACATTATTCCAACGTTTTGGCTAACAACAATGAACCCTAGATGAGAGGGGAGAGGAGGAAAGGGACAGCCCAGAGATAAACGAGCACAAACAAAAATGTTCTTCTAGCCGGACTGAAGTCAATTGAATGCACAAAACCCCTATGCGAAATGTAAACAATCTGAGACTTAGGGGTAGATATGCATTTTCTGCGGAAATCCTGACTTGTCCCGATTAAAATTCTGCAACTGCAAGTCCTTTTCCCGCGGCGTGCTTAGATAGAATTATTGTCTGAACCTCACTGAGCACTCGGGTACAAATGAATTTATTTGAGCGTATCGGATCGGTCAGTGAACCAAAGATCCCTTCAATTCATTGGGTTTTCGGTGGTGAATCCACGTAAATCCATCCCTTTTCCGCTAGGTGTGAAATAGAGCAAGGGGATTAGTTTCCCCGGGAATCGGGTTTGATTGATGAATTTAATAAAGCGTGCTGTATGAATAGGGATTCCCTATATTTTACATTTGCAGGACAGATGGTACTTCATTGTAGGAAAGGAGGACAATACAGGGAGGGGAACCTAGGGGAAGTTGATCATAAATTGAACCCAGCTCAGATTTTACAAGTCAATTAGGAGTTTAAGGGGAGGAAAAGAGTTGATCGCCTTAAAGAAGCACATAGAACGGGTTTTAGGGGATTTTAACAATACTGTTTTTGAAATGGAATAGTTTTTCAGTTCCTGAGTGGCATAAACCCAAACAATGGAATGCCAATCTTGAAGATCAGTAGTCCTGAGCCAAGGATAACATAAAGCGAACCACAATAAAAAACACAAACTCCCATGCTGTGTCCCCTTTTTTTCCTGCGGCAATAACATTACTATCCAGAAAACAGAATCATCGCAACGAAGCATTTGTCACGCACACAGGCGATTTGGGAGGGGATCTTGTAGAGTGGGTTAGAATGGCGTGGAAGGTTAGGCGGCACGGCGGCACGGGGCACTGTGGCACAGTGGCAACCAGCTGTTTTTTATTTGTATGCCTCGAGTGCAGGCCTCAAAGAGCGCAAAACTGGGGTAAGGGTAAACAAAAGAAACGCACGTTCAAAATGGTAGGGAAACATCTTTCGAGTGGTATGCGTATATTTTTATCAGGCACTGTGCGAGTGTACACAGATTTAACCCCAATTTGTGAGATTTGCTCGCGGTGATTGCAGTTGCTGTTGTCAGGAAGCTATATACGTTTTTAAAGGTTTCTAAAAATACAAAGGCCAAAAAATAAGAAAACAATAGCGGGACTAGAGAGAGCGAGGCCCTGGGGACACACAAAGGGAATTAGTTATAAAAGGCATGCGACAACAACAGCGAGATCTGCGCACTGTGGCAAAGGATGTGCGGCGTATTCGCCATTACCCCTGCACCCCCTTCCCCCCCCCCCCCCCTGTGTGTGTGTGATAAATGTGGCACGAAATATTTTAATTATTTTAAACGTTTTATGGCTCTGTGGTCGCTCAGTCGGGTGATGCCAGATACTCCCTTGGAAACGGGAAAAAACGCAGCCACCCGAAGGACAATGGCAATGGCGAAACAAAAGACACCATCCAGTCCTGTCTAAGGACCAGGGACATAACTCGAAACAGCAGCCTCAGCCACTCCACTCCACTCCTTCTCTTTCATGCCATTCCCACAAGAACTTTACCCAGTAATTACGCCCTTTACTGTCTGAAGAAACGAGGTCACCCATTCGAGAAAACGTGTTGTGGCGGGTGGATGAAATACGGGACTCGCCCGGTATCATTCCTGTTTTCACATGCCCTCAAGATGTTTGCGAGATAAGAAGCATTCCAGAAAACATAAGCTGGGACGGCATTACTCGGGGATCAAAGGCACTTTGATGAGCATGGCCAATGGACATATGCTCAGGTGCTGCGTAAAGGGTATATACCTAGTGGTAGTTTGGCTAATAGAACAGGGTATTGAGATCACAGGCATAGTAAGTCGTTGAATTGGGGACCTATGATGGGAATGAAAAATACAACTCTAGATAGAAGAAAGAACTCGTCTTAATATTTGACACCATGACCCTGTAGACAGCCTAATCTCTGGAACGGAAAAAGAGCCAGCCTAACTCGTTAAATCTTTCTCCACCTTTAGTGCCCGCCCTGGGAAATTTCACAGACGAGCAGGAGCAGCGCAGCATCTCCCCCAGTCAAAACCAACCCGATGACGCCAGGAGCAAGGAATACCAGTCCAACAAGAACAAGCCCAACGGAGTGGGCGGCTCGGGCGGAGGCCTGGGCGAGGGCGTGGCCACGGCGGGCAGCGATTCTGGGGGCAACAACAAGTTCAGCAACGGACCGCAGTGTAAGTAGCCGAAAAGCTTGATAAATCCAATTAACATCTTACTTTTGCAATGCTCCCGATCGGGCCATTCGCTTTACACGTCCTCGCTGGCGCTGGCTAATTATTTAGTTGAACAATATTTACATTTAATTTTGTTTCGACGGGCGCGTTTGTTGATTTAAATTTCAATTTGTCCTTTGCTCTTTTCCGCTTTCATTGCAGTAATTGCGCCACGCCCCATCGATCAGGAGCCGAACGACGCGAACTTCATCGGTGTGGTCATCGTGGTCCTGACGACGATAATAATCCTGCTGGTGGCCATCATCCTCTTCATTGTCTCGCGGACGAAGCGAGCCCGCGGCAGCAACGTCCTCGACGCGTTCCAGTACAGCTTCAATCCCAACACCCTCGGCGGCAACGTGGACAAGCACCGACCGAATGGCAACAGCATCAAGGTGGGTGCGGCATGGATTGCGGAATGTGGCAATGTGGGAGGGAATAGGGGTCTGGGGTCAGGGATACGTGTGCGTAGGGGACGGCAAATGCCCGTCTCGAATTTCCACATAATTGTTCAATGTAGCGTGGAGTTTCCACACTGCTTAGTCCTACGTGCGAAGCCCTCCGTCCGGCATTTATTTAATGGGACTTTTCAACGCCCGACGACAGTGTGCGTGCTCTGTTGATTTGTGGGGGTCAAGCTTAAGTGGCCAGAGTTCCAAGGAGCAGGGTGTGGGATAAACTTTAAAGTTCTGCCAACTGAAGGAGGAGACCGGACTAAGTCTTGTGATAAAATTGGATTAAAGAACTTTTTTTCAAGTTGTGTGTGCTGAAAACTTTCTCATCGCAATGGGTAGGGAATCACGATTTTTTGGCAGCGAAACTATCGAGAGGGAAGTCGATGCAACAGATGGCCCAAGATACAGGATTTGTTGGCCAAGTTCCGCATTAATCGAGTGCGGGGATAGCATACGTAAAATAATTTAATAGCGTAAGTGCGGGTCAGAATAAAATAAACGGTTTGGCCTTCAGCCATTTCTCCCTTTTTTTATTCAAAGCGATCATTAAAGGGAGTTCAAGAAATCACTTTTTAATATCTATACTTACAAGAAATTTGTATTTTCATATTCCAGAATGTAAAACGTTTTAATTCGTGTCCCTTAAACTAAGTATTTTCCCATTTCTCTGTGTGTTTTCAGGCCAGCGTGGACGACAACGACTCAATAGGCAAGAACAGCCTCTACCACGAACCTTTCAATGTGAACATGTATACGAGTGGCGTGAACGGCTATGCGGCGGTCAATGATTTACAGTGTAATATGACGCCCGACTATACAGGTGAGTTCCTTCAAACCCCCCTCCCCCCCTTGGCCCCTTTTAACCCCCAGCGGAGCATGTTTCCGCTGGCTGGCGCGAAGAGAGTCATAAAATATGGCGCCGCTTGCAACTAATGCAAATACCTTTTTGTGGCCATTTCCCCTGACTAAGCACACTTTTCCCCGCTCTTTTTTCATCCCCACAGACGTACCGGAAGGTGGTTACGCCGTGCCGCACATGCAGGACTACATGCCCTCCTCGAAAATGGGAGCTGGCGGGGCAGGAGGGGCAGGAGGCGCTGGCTATGTGAATGTGCGACGCACCCCGCCTCCCCCGCTGAGCAGCATTTTCCCCCGACCGCCCACAGTTCCGCCGCCGCCCATGGAGAAGTACTACGCCACCACGGCCATCTTCAAGCCGCTGAAGGGACCGGGCTCGGAGCGCAGCGGTAGCAGCAACACCAACACCGTGAGCAGCGGCGGTGGCAAGAGCAGTCACAGCCACAGCAGCCACTGCAGCGCCGGCGGTCAGGACCACAGCGGCATCTACGACGACGGCATAGGCACCATGAACTCCAACGCCACCGCCCCCATGATCAATCCCTACAGCGGCGGGAACAGCTCGGCGGCCGCCGCTGCCGCTGCCGCGGAGTTCCAGCGGGCCAGGACCTACAACTTCCGCAGCTACCCCGACAACCTCTAGTTCGAAGCCTCGCTCCAGCTGGTGGCGGCGGGCGCCGAGGCTCCGAAGCGGGCCACCGCCGGCCCGCCCGGCAGCACCACCATGCCGAAGAAGCCGCAGCACCTGAGCCTGGTCGGCTACGCAGGCGGCCCCACCAAGCCCAAGTACAGCCTGACCCTGCACAACAACAGCAAGCATGCCCCAGGAGGCGGCGGCGGAGGCGGGGGAGGCGGTGTAGGCGTGGTTGGCGGCAAGCACCCGCAACTGGCGATCCTGCGCGACGGTCACCAGCAACGTCAGCACCTCAAGGCCCTGCGGCTGACGCGGGAGGCGGGCGGGGCGGAGCCATCGGACTACCGGCGACCCACCACCTTGGAGGAGGTCCTCTCCGAAGAAGTTGCGAGCGTAAACGCAAAGGACCGCTCAAGGCCAACTGCTGCCGGTGGCGACACTCCGGGCAATGCCACCAAGTCGATGGGCGAAGGCGGCAATGGACACGAAGGCGCCAAGAGCGGAAGTGGCAATGGACTGGGAGGCGGAGTGCCGAGCGGTGTCATGAGGGCACAAAAAAACAGGCTGTGGTATCATTGATGAAGACCCCATATTGAGTGGATTTAAGGTAAGTCAAAGAGGTTTTACTCTTAGTAAATACTTAGTCTAATGCTATAGCATTATACCATCAATGGTTTTGAATTGTTGTAGGAAAATAAAATAAAATAGAATAATTTCGGTTTTCATGAGTGCATAGTAAATTTTGCAAGCTTTTTAAAACTTTGATTTTTTGACCGGTATGCAAATATGAGATCGCATTAAATTGTTTGATAATCGGATTAAAAATTGTATCTATTAATTTATATAATAGCTCTTGACAGAGTAAACAAGTTAAGAACATTCATTAGACCGATAAATACAATTATTCTTTTGGTCACCAATTAAATTATTTTATTTTTTCACCTACAGCGAGATCATCTTTTTTTGAGCATGTAAAATTGTTTGAATTCACATTAATTTTTTTGATAATCGGATTAATCATTTTATCTGTTAATCCATTTACGTTAAACAATAATAGCTCTTGACAGAGTAAACAAGTTAAGAACATGTTTTAGACCGAAAAAAAACAATTATTCTTTTAGACTCCAATTAAAATAACCCCATTTCCCCTATCTTATTTTTTCACCTACAGCGAGATCATCTACACGGAGATCCGAATGCGAATGCATCAAATTTTAAGAGGACGTTACGTGGCTATTTTCGTGATGGCCCACGCCAACGATGACAAGGCGTACAGAGATACAGCAAAGCACAAAGAGCTGGAACAATTAACCCCACTGAGCAATCAAGAAACGAAGCGATCGGAAACGAAACCAAGTCGCCTACCAATCATTTATAAAGTAGAGCTGCGAATATGCCAACCATGTAGGTAACGAAAAGAGTTTAGATCACCCTGTAAATATACGAGTTTAGGAATCGGTAGTCAATAACATGCATATAATAGCAAGCGAGTTACATTTCAATGAGAAACCCAGGCACGAATAATGAAAATATTAAGACGAATTTAAGGTCTAGCATTTAGCGACAAAATTTGTTTATAAAACGAAGGAAGAAATATTATATTGAGTAACACCTAACTAGCTTTTAATAATGTTTAACTGATTTGTAGTACTTTTTGGAGGAGAACACTGAAAATCTGCAAACTAACTGTACATGCCTGTGAACCTACCCCTGACTAAAACTAAAACTAAACCTGAACTATCTGACCCTATAAGCGCCTACACTCACACTACTTAAGCCCCCTGTACATTTTCTGTGTATAAACTTAGAGACATAGATTTTTCTATAGATGGAAACGCCGCGTTAAGCAAAATTACGTAGGGAAAACGTCGACCGAGGTGAGATGATGATAAAATTGTAACGGAATTTAACGGACCAAGAGAGCGTGCAGAGCGACTTCGCCTAAACCAAGTAAAATGAAGTTTTCATCAATGATTTGTGATTCAATATTCAACTATTTATAGACACGCAGATGCGAGTATTCAGTTCTAAATGCTAACTTTAATTTATCGAAACGTACTACCCGCAAACAAATGACTCTGACTATAAAAAGCACTATGAATATTTGAAAAGAAATCGTATTTATAATTAATTTTAAAGGATAATCATGTATATGTTCCTTTTTAGTTTAATGCGCATTAGTATCACCCGGGAACTTACTAAAAGATAAAAGTAGCAGCTTCGTAGTAGTTTAATAAAGCAGCAGCAAAGATTACATAATTTTAAGCAACCGGATACATAGGCAAACAATAGGCGTGTTTGAAATAGCATTAAAAGTAAACACAACTACTTACACTAAACAATTAGCTTAAATAGTAAAACAATGAAGATACCAAGATAGGCACACGCTCAACACAAACACAGTTTAGAATGTTTGTGCAAGAATTTTCGAAGGTTTTAACGAGAAAAATTGATAAGCGAAATAAAATTATGAAAAATGTTACAATAAATTTTAAAAGTATTTAATAACATTAGGCTTTGAGATACGACTGTATGTATTCCTCAACTTTCTGCACCAATTCTAAACTTTTCACCTTTTCAATGCACCAAAGGTTTGCCAACACTGGCCCCACAAAAACACACAAAATTTCAGCAAGACACAATGAAACACTGCAAGAAAAAACACTGTCCGCCACTAAAAAAATTCTATCGAGCAAAAACAAATCACGAACCTACCTACAAGACTTGTGTAAAATATAATAAAAATGTAAGCGAAAGCTAATTTAAACGGTTAGAGATTAAGTTAAAAATACATTTTGTAAAAATTAATAAGAGTACACTGTAAAAACGTATATACTAATGTAATGGTTATCCTGTTTTTTGGAAATCACGGCAAATGTCATACAAATTATTTATTTGCGGTGCGCTTGGCGGTCGATATCCCGACTAGATTTATTTCTAAATTAATTTAAATGCATTTATTATGTGTAAATTTTTCAAAGGCAAATATATAGTACTCAATTATTTAAACAGCAAACACAATATGTTTTTTACTCATGAATTGTATGGCATGCATTGGAATAAACGGTTTGATAATGGAATTTAAGCAAACAATTAATTCAATCTTCAGAATTTTTCTGGTAAGTAATAAGTCCCAAAAGGTGTTATATAATTCTATTAGTTAAGAAGATAGATTAGAATGGAATTTAATACCTTTCATTTATTATTTATTTTTTATTATTTATTTATTAAAATATTATTATTTATTTATTAAAATATTATCTATAGTTTCATCGCTATGGAGCGTTGAAGTGAAAAGAAATTACTAGGAACTTTTTTAAAAACTTTCAAACAAACTTGGGCACCGACGGCATTATAAGAGTCTGCATGCTAAAATTCTAGAGATTTGGGAATTAAGACAGACTAGATGGTGTTTTATATCAAACGTTGGGTAAAAGTTAATAAAGTTCAAATAGTTGTGACGTGAACACAGAACCTAACTTTTGGCTATAATTTCGTAAATTTGTTAATTCGAGAAAAACTTTTAATAAAATGCACACCATTAGTCGTTTAGAAACTTTTGGAAAAAAGCTAAACCAGAAGCTGTTTACCAAAGTTAAAATAATTTTGGGACCCTAAGACTAATAAGACTATATAGTAAAATATTTTTAATTTCCAAAAAAAAAAATTGTGGTATTATTGCAAGTTGGTTGTTATTCGACATCTTAACAAGATTGGCATTGCCCAATGAAATTAATTCTAGCACCGCAGAAATAATAATTTTTGGGTTAAAGCCTTACCAATTACCAAGTTTGATTCCTCTCTGGTTTTAATTTAAATTACAAAAACTTATTATAATTAAGACCTGCAAATGTTTTCCCTTTTTCTTGGAAAAATATGATCAATATTTGTTCTTCATATAATTGGGGTTTTGTAATTAACTTCTGTTCCCCGAATAAAGCGAGTTTCACTTTTTAACGATAAACATTAAAAGTTGTGGAATTACAGAAGCTATAAGGTTTCGAGGCTAGAATCAAATTATTGTCGGCAATTTTGAAAAAAACCGATTGCAGGATTACACTAAAACTAACTTTATAAGCTTTAAAATACTCTTTTAATGACAGATTAATTCATTTACAGCTTAATTTACTCTTCGAAAAAAAATTCCCCTGTTGAAAATAGTCATTCTGTTCTTATATACATTTCATTTGTATTCTTTTTGGTGGAGTGAATGTGTTTCCATTAAATTTTATTGAAAAAGTGATGCACAGTAAAGCAATCGAATAGTCATCATTGACAATTCTAAGTTATTTTAAGGCACTGAATAAACAAAAAGACTTTCCAAACCTAAACAAAAACCCACCAACGGAGTTTTCGTAAACATCTCTTAACGGCACACTATAAAATCTGCCAATATGTGGTTCATCGATCTGAAAGGAGAAAAAAACTATCAAAATCTAGGACGTAAACATAAGTTGGTGTTTATATAGTACAGAAGGCCCTGATGTCCCCTGGGGCATTAATCAAGCACTTCTGTTCCTTCAATGAGGGTGAGTCAGTTACCGCTCACTTGACATCTGCTTTAATTCACTCCAATTTCACTTAAAAGCAAAAATCGAAAGTAAAGTAATCAAACAGCAAATTGACGACTGGCGACCAACTCACATTGACAGAGTTTAACCATTAAAGATGAAACGTAAAAAGTGTTTATTTAAATCTCAGAATATCGTCGATCTCCGATCATTTTCAATTTTGAGGTCCTGATTTAAAAAAAGGGTCGAAAATAGATATTTTTGGAAAACAAAGTTAAAAGCCGTGAATTTGCATTAACTCTTTAAGTTAAAGAACACATATGAAATCCAAAGCTTTTAATTTTCTCACATCTAATTTAAAAATGATTAATAAAAAAATGGTTCGTGTGTTGAAAGAAATCCGGAGGGATGGCTTTCGGTCGTTTGAACCAGAAGTTTGAATTTTAAAATTAACATTTGCATTTTAAAAAGCTACTTTACGTTTAAAGTCAAAGAAATAGTTTTTTTGTTTTTGGTAATTGTGTTCCATTTTTTAATGTGAAAATAATAGTAATGGTATGGATAGAACACAGAAAAGTTAGTCAATGGTTGCACAAAATTATATATTTTTCAAACACTTTAATTGAAACTTTCGATTTTTCGACACCAGCGTTCGATTAAATAAATGGAAAGATAAATGCCTGATTGGCAGCCTTTTATTTCGCGGTCCATTCCAGCTGTCCCACCTGTCAAACATGCCGGGCCAAATTATTTGAAAATCGTTTACGAAAGAAAAGAATAAATGAGTTTATTTCATGGATTTCGGGTGCTCTTTGTGAAAATGGGTGAAAATATCTCTCAATTCGTCGCATTGTCTGTCAGCTTTTGAGACCCAACGCTGAGTGTTAAACAATTTTGTTTGATTTTATTCTACTTTGTTTATTTTCATTGCACTTTTCGGTTTTGTGTCCGTTGTTCATTTTACAGGCTTTCAATTTGTAACACTCGTCGTCGTTTGTCGTTCCTCTGAATGACTTTATTTGTCGCATTATGTGGACCTTCCGAAAATATTTGCGAAAAAAGGGTTCAACACGCCCCTTTTTTCACCATCTGAGTGTGTGCTTTAGACAGCTGGATATAGGAGGAGCATTTAATCTACCAATGGAAAAAACTTTAAGAGCGTGAAGCGTGATAAAAGCGCGTGAAACAATTATACAAAAAACATAATGTCCCAGTGGACTTCTAAAATATATTTAGGAAGTGGTGACATTGGATAAGCAAAACGCAATAAAGCCGAAAGTATTTATATTTCTAGGTGGTTTATTTTAACTAAAGTTGATTTAAGGAGCCACAAAAAAAAAAAACAAAATTATAAGTGTCTCTTACAGTGCTTTATAAATTTAATACGTCCCACCTAATCTTCCCTCTTGACTTCTTACTTTTTGAACAAACGTCCAAGTCTCGATGCAAGACAAATTCAGTCGACTAAAGTATAATCTCAAAAATCTGCCAAACCAACTGCAAATTAATCTAAATACTCAATTCGAGTGTTTGTTGAAGTGTTAACAAATGATTTTTGCCCATTAAGCAGAGATACAAAACTGAATAGTAGTCCGGCAAGTCTTGGTCTGCAATGAAAATATTAGCTCTGCGCAAAAGACACAGCGTGTGAGGGTGAGTATGGAGAGCAGCAATTAACACACTAGAATCTGGAGTTACGCAAGCAGCACTTTGATAGTTAGATAAACAAATACAAGTGCCCACCCGCACAGGCGGGTCAAAGGAAGTCGGCAAGGACGTGCGGAAGGATGCTGCAGCTGATAAGCTCTGGACTGCAGGGAGCGGGGCAGTAATTCAATACCGACAGGAATGCAAGGTAACATGCAAATTGACAGACAGGACGTTTGTCAGGACATGGGGAAAACAAACAAAAGACAGATAGATGCAGATAGATGCAGATAGAGGTTGGATCGAAGGGAACGTCATCGCACGAATTGCATTAGTTGCAGTGGCCGCCGCCCAATCGGATAGTTGGACAACTCCGTATTTTACTGTGTTTCTAGGCGTTTCCGCATCGAGCCAACCTCTCCATGCAAATAAACCATCCTCCCCGGGCATTTGCGATGTGTGGCGATGACGAAACGATAAAGTGTAAAATTACTTCAATTTAACGCTTCATAAAAAGGCGGCCCTGCTGGGGTGCAGAACTCAGTGACTGACGGGTGAGTTAGATGATTACTCCGCTTTTGTCGAAAGTCAATTTACCCTTTTACATTTTATTTTTTCTAAGGTGCGAGACATGTCAATATGGGGCTGAGGGTGAAACATTTGCAACAATGGATTACAAAAACAAAACGAAAGAAAGCTAAGTTTAATATAGCTTTCCGAGCTTAGTTTAAAAGCTAGAGTTTTTAAACTTACCACATCTAAAATACCCTTGCAGAGGGTATTATAGTTTTAGTCAAAAGATTGCAACGCAGTGAAGGCGAAATCTCCGACGCTATAAAATATATATATTCTTAATCAGCATCACCAGGAGAGCTGCTACCAGATGATCTTCTCTATATATGAAAAAATACAGATATTTACCGTTGTCAAAAAAATTATATAATAATAAAAACCAAATAATCTAATACTTTAGTTATAAATATCTCGTAAAAAGAATACATACATAATATAAAAAATGTATAACACATCCATTTCATAAAATAAAAACCTATTTTCTCTGATTCCAAATTATTACACTTTTTATTATATATTAACAAAAATTAACGTTTTTATATATTAACAGAGGTAACTTTAAAACACAATTTTAAAAATTAATATACATCACTAAGCACCTGCTCAATTTAACAATCCTTTATTATAATATTACATTTATGTGTATATGTAATGTACAGCTTTAAAAATTATTTTCGTTATTATTCATTTTATATATATACATATAAATATAAATCCAATTATAGTAATCGTTTTCACATTATACATTGAATTATCTAAAGACTTCCGTTTTACTGATGAAAACATAGTTACATACATGGTTTAAAATTGGTATCGTGGTCTTTTTAATTTAATCTAAAACTCACTGTCTGCTTGGCAAATGAAATAAGCCAAAAAGTATTCAAACCTATTAAACATGTAACCGTTACGTACAGAAACGTAGTCCCTTCTTCCTCCATTAGAGGGATTATTCTCCGCCCAACGCAAATACAGTGCTTCCTTCCCAGAGGCAATAGAGGCGAAATTGCCCTCTTTGAGGAGATCGTTAATACCAAGCCAATAATTGCGATCTTCTTTGAGTTTCGCTGTAATGGCATCATACTCCTTCCGGTCTTTAATGGTCGCCAAGTATCCACCCTTTTCACGACAGATGGATTCAGCCTGACTCCATTTCACTTTAGTTTCATTTTCTATGTAAAAGAACCTCGAACCGATCTGCTCGAAATGGGCTGAGATGGTCTGGTTTTCATTTGTGGGTTTCATCGGGGTTTTACCGGGGCTCTTTTCTGTTATTGGGGTGCCTGCCGA